ACTTTAGTCTTTGCAACTTTACAGATCTTCTTTATGCACCAAGAGCTTGTAACATTCCAAAGAGAAAGGAAAAATTTAAATCGCACCATATGACCCCTTTAAAATGACATTTTTATCATCTTAATTCAAGTAATGAAGGATTTTGAAAGTCTGACAGTAATCAGTGATGAGTACTACCGTAAGGTTAACCCTGCCTGGTTTAAATGTTTCAAAATGATTAACAGTTGAAAACATTCATTAGAAATTTAGAAAAGTAATCAAATGTAAACAGTTACATTACTTTAATAAAGCAATTGAAATAGTTACATTACGTTACGTAACTTGTAATCTGTAACCTATTACATTTCCAAAGTAACCTTCTCCATATGTTTACACATACTTTTTTGTCATCATAGCAGTATATTTCCTGCTCATTACCAAAAAAGCCATAAAAAGCCAAAGGCGACTTAAGGCATAAACTGACTGCTAAGACAAAGCCACAGCCAATGACCTCAACACATCATCTGTTCAACAGAAAAAATGCAGCCTGCACTGCATCTACTATATGAGTCAAGGTCCAGAGAGTTGGCAGGGCAGATCATTAGTTTTCCCCCCACACCGCAGTTATCACCTCTGAAGAACTCCTTTCGAAGAAGAAAATCACAAGCATAAAAACAGAAACCTCCAGGGAACAAGACCACGGTCTTCTCATTAACAACTGAACAACATACTTGCTAAATGGTCACTATTGCACTTAAAATCTTTATAGATGACACTACTACAGCCAAAGAAGTTGCATGAAATGAACACAAGTTGCGTTAGATGAATAAATAAGTCATGCAGCAGCATTGTGTATGTCAAGGCTGGTCCAAAAGCAAGTTTCAATAACCAAACTGTGAAAAATAACACTCAAAAATGTGGAATAATTGCATCAATTGGCTTTCTGGGAAGAAATATGCAAAAAAAATTTATAATAATAATATTAAAAATCATATTTTTCATATAAATGTCTTTGTATTTATTGAACTGTATTGTACTCTTATTATTTGATTGAGTTTTACATAAAATGAATTTTAAATATAAGGCATGGAGAGCCTCGAAGCTTTATCTTGGAGTTGGTTCACTCCTATAATAAAAGCACAGTTTATGCTAGTTGTACTATTATTTAAAAGAGAATGACACAAAATGTGAAAATCGGCACTACAAATGTTATCTGCAGGGAGCATGTCCAAATCAACAAAGGAAACATCTCTGTGAATCACAGCCCAGCAGCCTTTACCTGACACCTGTGTCTCTATGGAGTACATTCACTCTGTTCTCTGCAATATTTGTCATGGCAACAACAGTAGCCTCCACTGTCAGCAAATCATACTTAAATTTCACTTAATAGAGAGAATTAGCTTTTTTTTTTTCATAGCACAGTCTATCTTGAGTTTTCCCCCCCTTAAAGCTATCAGTATGAGTATCATTTCACAAAAAAAAACAAAAAAAACAGACAGTAAAGTAGATATACGAAACTGTCAGCCAGAATCCAAAAGTCAGTGTGAGTGCTGTTTAGCTCACAAATAGTGATTAGTTAAGCCCATCATTAAGATTTTATGGCAATTTTAAAAATACAGCAGATATGTGTTAGCTGTGGAAGCAAAAACCAATGATGGTAAGACTTGTCATAATGGTAATATGTGCTGAAGAGGGGAGACACCTCAACTAATTTGCTCTGAACCATGGGGATTTCAAGCTTGCTTTGCAAGCTAATGATTTTAAAAAGGATCAATTAGTGAAGCCTGACAAGCAGGGCAGGTATCATTTGTCACAATGGTAGAAGGAGACTTTTTGAGGTTAGACAATTCAAAAGTTATTTGGAAAATGTCACTTACTTGTCCAGACAAGGGTGTAATTTTAACTCCCATACTAATCGATGTTTCTTTACTAGATTTATAGTCTGGACATTTGCATTTTCATATAAATTATTGTGATGGATATTATAGGGAACATCAATTGTCAAAGTAACCCATAAATTTTATTTATTTGACCAAATTGAACATGAGTCAGCCATGAATGTCAACAGAGTGACATATTAGTAGACAAAGTCCTTTATTAGAAACCTTCAGAGAATGTTTCAATCGGTGTCACTCAGTCACAATCTTAAGCCTATACTAATGACCATGCACACTAAAGTCTTGAGTATGTTTAGAATGATTATGAATATTTCTAAATTAGTACTCAAATAAAATCCAGTGCTTTTGAATGAATTGTAAAACCGAGACAGATCTCTGGCATACAATTGACCCTTCGCAGGGAGTTTGACTGACAGGCAATCTGACCTATCATAACGCAGAATCTGCCATTTTTGTCTAACAAACAAACCAGACAGGAGAGTAGATTAACGTCGGCGGACCTGACCTTGAAAAATGGTGTGTATTGACATCTTTCTACACACTTCTGGTGTTCATTCCTGTTTATTTCATGCTATAGGCCTAACTAGTAAAGAGGAAGAGATGATCAGTTCACGTGCTGCTTGAACTGAGGTCTGTCATGACACATTAAAGAGCCACAAAATGGTATTTATTGTTTGAATTTCTTAATAAATGACTAAATATTCTTGTATATAGACCTGTCGCAATAATCAATATATCGACTTGTCGCGCAATATATGTACATGACCGCAATCATTTTTGGTGACGCCCAATATACCGCCCATTATATTTACTTAAAAATTTATTTCACCATGTTTTGTACATTCCACTTGCGTATCAGCATGTTTTCAGTTTCCTCTTTGCTCCGTGATGTATTTTTCACTGCGTGAAAACATGATGTGTGGTGTGAGATGGCTTGTCGGACATATCAACAGTAACGAAGAGGTCAATTACAGCTGAAGCTACAACTGTCAAGCTCTAAAAAGGACCAAAAATAAATAATCACATAAGTAATGACAGAATATTTATTTTTGGGATAAACTTTTTCTTTAAGCATACTCTAAATTCATTTGCATAAAACTGTCACCTCAATGACTACTTACTAGTAAACAATGAGAAATATCCTTTGTGCTGGTTCTCCCACTTCTTTTAGTTTACGGTTGAGCAGGGACTGCACAAACATCTGCTGTAGCCAGGCAGGTCACAGAACCCAAGGCATGTTGCTTTGTTCTCTGTGGCAGTGTTAAAAACAGCATTTGTGACAACTCAGATTAAGTTGGAGCCAAGGATGTTCAAACAGAGACTGATAATGAAAGTAACCTCCAGACTGCTGACTCTGTGAACCCCCTGCTGTAACATGGCCACTATCTCCACTTGCCAAGCAGGCTTCCATACTCAGCAGCGCTTCAGGGGAGGCCCGCTCCTCTGACACTGCAAAGCAAATCGGATACGAGACTGAGAAAATAGGATGACACCGTCGTACCCAAAATAGAACGAATGTCAGATGGAGTCAGAGCATTTTGGAAAAACTTAATTTGTGTGTCAGTTTATCAGCTATATGACCTGCTGACTACAGCTGACAGAACTAGTATCCAGGTTTGCATAACCAAACAAAACATGGCAAAGATACAGCAGACCTGGAAGCAATATGAATCCACAGAGACAAAGGAGTAGAGCACCATCCAGTCATTTTTCAGTGCACTCGTTATGATGGCAGCCAACGTTGGGGAGAGAGCAGGGTCAGAGCATTGTGGAGTGAAAGCCAGACCCTTCCCAAGGTCAGTCTTGTTCAATACATCACACCACCTCACCCTGTGGCCTCTGCAAGCCGACACACCATGGCCACATACACATGTCAAAGAAACGCTTCTTGCCAAAACAAATCACCCAGAGGGCACCCCAACCAGATCATTCCTCTCAGCTCAGGGCCTTTGTGTGATCTTCTTTCTGTTATGCAAATAGGAGAGAATGGCAAACTAAATACTGTACATAATCATGTGTTCTCAAGTTGCAATTTTAATTCATGCAAAAACATTTGCAAATACAATTTGCAAAGCCAGCACCATCCCATGTGTACAAGACAACAAATTTGTCACTTCTGGGGAAACTGGCACAAATGCAACTATGGTTCATTTATTAAATGCAATAAATTACGCTTACGGTTTAGTGCATGCAGACAAAACGCAGTGAAATTGACAAACTAGACAATGTTTGTTAGTGACCAGTAACACATGTCTGGGAGCGACAGAATGTCAGACATTTCTAGGAGGTCATAGCAGCCAATCATTTTGATGACAGGCTTTGGCTCTGGCATTTTAGAATGGCCAGATCAATGTTTTCTTATGTATGAAAGACTTGCTAAGACAAAGTCACATGATTTGCTACTAGAATTTTTGCATAAAAAGCATAAAAAATATAATTTATAAAATAAAAAAGTATTAAATGAAAGTATAAAAAATAGAAGTATAAAAAGGTATACAAAAATGTAATCTAGGTAAGTATTATTAATCTGGGTAAATTTAAATGACATTATTACTCATTATCATGCTTGCTCAATTTAATTTGAAGTGTTAAAACTGTATTAGTATAGGTAGAAATTCATTTTAACCTAGATTAATAAATGCTATAAAAATATTGCTTATTTCACAAAATTTAATTCATTAACTTATGTTAACAGTTCTAAGCTTATATTAAAGTGTTTTAATTCATATTTTGAAAATTAAAATTGCTTCTTGGCAATTCCATCCAGCAAACTTTTAATAAACAACATCACAACATTTGCATACAAATTATGTGGATGGAAACCTAACTGACTATATACACAGAGAGAGCCAATCTAAAAAAAGAAAAGGAAAGAGCTAAAATGACCAATGTTCGTCTCTGAGGGATACTGCTTCCCAATCGCATTCTTTTCCAGACCGGTCCATTGTTTTTTTCTGAAGGAAACTTTTGCACAATAAATTTATCTGCTGATCCGAGTCGACCTACTTTTTTGCAGATTACACTCTAAAAGAAGATTTTCCTTTTATATAACCCTACAACGCACATGAGTATTTAATATTTTCTTTTCCTCGTCTCCATATGTGCATCCTTCTAATTTAGGGCCTCTTTGTTTGTCTTTAATCACGATAATAATAATACAGTATAACAGCGCACCAACAACAGTGCCAACCAGGTGTTCAGCAGAAGTGATTAATATTTTCTATAAGGTCACAACAAAAGCTAGTTTCAGCTGTGGCACCTTTTTCCAGGAAAATGTCTTACTGAAGCAGCCCCAGCTTCCCGGTATCCACCTCAGCAGTTCACGAGCCTCCACTCTTCAGATTTCCAGCTGAAACCCAATGTGGAGTCAGTTTCCTCAGAGACGTCTAACAGCTTTTTGCATTAGGACAGAGGGGTAACCACAAATGCCACAAACTGTCACTGACACCATTATGAAACTCAGCCCTTTACGCATGAAGTAATACACACATTCAGCGCTCACACACACTCATATCCAACACACGCCCTCCCCAAACCCGGGCCATTTATTATTAATACAAGAAATCATTAAAGAATCCTAATTGGTGATGTGCTCGCGGAGTCTCCGAGGTGTGCGGGGTTCTGTCAGATCTCCAGCCTTCCAGTCTTTTGATAAGATGGCAGGACACCCTGCATTCATGTGCTTCTCCTGTTGACTGCAAAAGATGTCATTTAAATCTTCCTTTCCTTCTCCTCCCCATCCCAGGCTGATTAGCGCAAACCTGCTCCCAGACTGGCAGATGCTAATTCAGGAGCCCTTGTCTGGGGAACGTTGCCATTAGCGGCAGGTAGCACGCCGACGCGAGATACGAAAACCTCTAGACGACTCGACCCGGCTGTCAATCACAGAACTGAAGTCAGTAGTTCAGCACGGCTAATGATACCTCACCAAAGTCGTGAGGTAAAACTACAGGAAAGATGAAGAACGATGTGAAAACGTAATCAGACGAGTGCTAATAACAGGGTGACCAGCGGTACAACTGGCTCTCTGGACTCCTAATGACAGTCGGTGCCCGGAGCAAGAGACCAGGGTGCTGTAAGACAACCTCGGCTGTCGAATTTCTCTCTCATTATGTCAGAAACGTCCTGTCTGATTCAAAAACTCACACTAATGGTTTAAAATAACATCAATGACGTCCGTCCCAACAGCCCCCACCTGCAAAACATAGGTTAACAAATGCGTTTGACTGGACAAAATCAGCAGTGACCGGACCGTCGGCCTGTCAGACAACACAGGCATACTGAGATTTCAAAGAGCTTATCATTATCCAGAAATCTTAGCGATGTCTGGTTTGACAAAAGCAATCATGGTGACAGCCCATGGCAGTGTCTGACAGGGCTCTCCATAAACCCAAAGTGTGACTGAACCAGTCGGACACTGATTATGCAGGCGTAGCACTGCTGCCAGCACCTGTCAAACCAGCTGTCTGCTGTCCAGAGGTAAATATGAGCCTCTAGTCATTTAAACCACTATTAAAAAGATTACATTAAGCTCCAATTCCAGCCAAGGGCGTCATGAACCTATTTTTTATTATTATTTCTTTTCCTTTTTTTTCGTGGTGTCCCTCAGTTTGAATCAGCTTGACTCTTCTGCTTCCAGCCATTCACGCACATGAATGCTAGTTGACCTGCTTGCAACTGCGCTAATTCAAAGCCAGTTCATTACATCCGAGTCTCATCATCATCATCTTCTGCTGCTGGTCTCCCTCTGGTAAAAGCTATTTAATGAGTCCCATTGGTCACTTGTTAAAAATGAGATTCCCGAAGCCCAGTTGTACATGATTGATGGCAGACAAAAGTAGCATATCGTAGCTGGTGTATGCAGTGGACGTACTGTAGCGTTGGGGAAGCTACCTTGAAACTGTAAAGATATAAGCATAATGTGAAGTAGTTAAACTAGAGTCAAGCTACTGTAAACTTTCGAAATTGCAGTTAGCTACACTATAGCTAATACTAATTAAAAAGTAGCTAACTACTGTACCTTGAAAGTAAGGGGGCAAATTTTTTTTTAAAGTAACTAGTTACATAATTTATGGTGTATTTCAGTATCATAGTTTTCTGGTACAAATACAAGTGTTTTTGAATGAATAAACATTCCAAACTAGGGTGATAACATCAAATTTGAACTGATAAATTTACACTGAAACCACAAATCACTTAAAAATATATAAATAATAGGGCTGTATGTACCAAGTGCAATTTTCTGCATGTCTGTGATCTAATTTTGAATACTGACCGTGATTTAAAAAATTTATTAATTTTTTTTTTATTAAATTAAATTTAAAAATGAATAAAAAGAAACTCCAGGTCTGCTGTGCTTTTTTGTAGGGCTGCATTTTCATTATTATTATTATTATTATGAAACATGCTGCACATGTATTTAATTAAATTAATTAAGCAATTATCAAATTGCAAAAGGCTGTGAAAATACTGCATGTGCTGTGTTTTTCTTAACAATAATAATAATAATAATAATAATAATAACCTTCGTTATTTGACAAACTACATTGCAATTTCAGTTTTATTCTGATTAATCGTACAGCCCTAAAATCTAAAAACACTCGAATCCACTGTAAAAATGCTACAGTAAAAACCTGTTAAATGGTTTACGGTAAATTCCCCTACTATATACGGTGAAAAACTGTATTGGATATTACATGTAATTTTACGGTAGTATACCGTTTTTGGAAGTGAAAAAGACTGTATAATTTACAGTGAATAACCGTAAATTGACATTCCCAGAATTCCCTGCATTACATTTCAAATTTGATGTTTTTATTTGTTGTTGAAATAATTATGTTTCTTCTTAGTTTTTTCTTATCAGTTTTGTATATTAGGGTTGTGTGTTACACCTAATGTTGTTAAATGAATGTTTATTGCATTATTTCAGTGTTTAGCGTTTGTGTGAATGACACTGTGCACCTTCTATATACTGTATGTTATTATTTAAAAGCTGCTTGTGATGGGCTTTGGTTCATCATGTGACTTTCTCATCACCACCTGCATTTGGTGGTTATCAGTGTATTACAAAGGTACAAAACAGATTTCAGTACTTCAATAAGTTGGTATATTAACATTATTTCAGTTAATGAAATTACGGTATTTAACCGTAAATTTATGTTAAAACTGTAAAACCTAAAATGTTCCTACCGTATTTTTTACGTTAAAATTCCGGCAAACACAGCTGCCGGTTTTTACCGTAAATTTTACGGAATTTTTTTTACAGGTGAACTTAATTAAAAGATATATTGATTAACTAAATATTCGGCTATATAAGAACTACCTAGTAGGGAGTAAATCTTATTTTTGAAATCTGTACAATTACAACAACCATTTGAACGAATGTACAAATGCTACATAGAAGACCCTGTTTTTGGACAATCCAATTCAAAACAATGAATCTATTGTTC